GCGGCTGGGGATGGGGGTCCATGCTGGAGCCCAGGGTGATTCAGGAGCTTTGATGAGAGAGGGTTTCTGGTCATCTCTGAGGAAGTGGGCATTTGTTCCAGAAGAAGGCCCCCCCCTCCCCCCAGACCCAAAGTCGGGGCAGCTGGCTCAGCCCCAGGCCTGGCCATACGGAGGCAGCCTGTCCTGGGCCCTGGAAACCAGCAGCGCAGGCTGTGGTACATGATTCCTTCTGCATCTGCATCCCTGGAAATGCCTGCGCCCAGCCCAGGCAGAGAGCAGCAGAGTTTAAAGAGGAAGGGCTCTCTCTGTGCAGGGAACGAACATGATTCAGCACAAGTGGTGAATGAGGGCCGTGGAGGCCAGGCTCCCCCGTCAGGCTCCACTCCCTTCCTGTCACCTCAGCAGAGGCCCCAGACTGCACCTGCCGCATGGGATCCCCGCCGTGCCCATGGCAGCCGGGCACCACGCCACTCCTCTCTCCAAGAACACCACCACCTGGCCGGCTGCCAGGAACAGCCAAGCCCTGTGGACATGGCTCCCAGGAATCCAACCAAACGACAGCAAACTCAGATCTCAACTGTACGAGCAGGTCTGGTAAATAAAGCCCCCAGATGCACAGCCCCAGATCCAAGGGCTTGCTGAGGACACACCGAGACGGCGTGTCCCCGGCACACACACTCACTTAAGCATGTCACAGCCTGCGGGTGTGAGTACCCCACCAGGGACAAAAGTGGTGGTGGGGTCTCCACCCTCAGGAAGCATGAACTTAGCCTGACAAACAAAAGGAACATCGGTGTAGTGGGGCCTAACCAGCAACTGGTCAGAGTCTGGGGCTGACACGGCCCATGAGGGTGGCCTTGGAAGGCAGGGAGCCCTCCATGAAGATGAGGAAATGCATCCTGGTGGGGGACTCCCTACTCTTTGTCTGGTGGCCTTCCAACCTGCTCACCTAAGAGATCTTCTTGGCTGGGGGTGGGTGGGGTGTTGAAGAAAAAAGGTAACCCCTTGCTCGTCTTTCTGTCTCCAGGAAGGAAATACCTGCGCATCTTCCAGATCCCCAAGGAGCCTCCAAGTGCTTGTCCCTTATCCAGCACTGCCCCCACCCACCCCCACTCCCACCCCGGGAAGCCAGTCACCCTAGGCTCCTGAGGTTCTTTCTTGCATTGCTGGAGTGGCTCATGATCCCAGGTGGGGAGTGAGGCCAGGCCAGCTACCCTGGCCATGTGGCCTGAGCCATACCATTGGGCTACTACTGGGACACCTCTGCCCCATAAGGCTGCGCCATACTGAGCGGCAGTAAACCAACCCATCAGACCTACTCCACGGGAAATCAGGAGGCGGCAGGCCACTTCAGCCTGGGGTACCCCGAGGACACCGATCCCTTATTGCTGCTCCATGAAGCTAGCCGACAACCCAGCCTAGGATTCAGGAACTCAGAAAAACTGCTGGGCTGAAGAGACAACACCCTGCCTTCCACATAGCCTGGCACTCGCCCTCTCTCTGTTACCAAGAGAGAGGTAGGCTGCTTCTTCCCTAGGGCTCCGAAGATGGCAAGTGTGAGCCCAGGATTTAGGGAGCAACATCTGGGGAAGGGTAAGGCCTGCCAGAGGGGCCCAGGGAAAGGGAGAGCAGTGGCCTCTTCTGTCCACAAGCCAGCTGTGGCTTTATCCCCGTGAGCACTGGCCCACACTGCTTCTGAACCTGCAGGGAGCTTCTGACCCGGACTGAGCCCTGGCCAGTAGACAGAATCCAGAGCATCCTGGGCCTGGCCTAAGAAAAGGGTACAAGACCCTGCCCGCAGCCTGGCCCCACCCCAAGCAGAGTCTCCTGTTTCTTACTGCTGTTGCCGTGAGAACCAGTCTCAGTTGGCAGAGCCAATGCAATTTCACACACTTAGTAGCGCTTGCTCTGCTCAGCACCTCAGATACCCTCCTGAGAGGAGGAAACACAACTCAGAGCCTATCAGCTGGGTCCGAGGTCAAAGCAGACTGAGGACTGGAAGGCAAGCTGCCTGAGCTGACCTTTGGCTCCAGGCTCCTCTTGATGTGACGTGGCCCTAAAGGGAAGGGGGCTGCTCTCCGCTCCTTCCAGGCCGCTGCCAGCTTCCTGGCGCCCTGCCTGCACGCCTGGCACAGCCCAGCACCGTGGACGTCAAGGAGGCCTCCTGGTACCTCTCCAGCAAAAGACAAGCATGGGCAGGCTGGAGAGCCTCCAACCAGGGGGTTCCCCCCCAATCTTAAGATTCAGAAGCAGCCACAACCCTTCAGCCCAACGTGAACTGCCCCACGTGGTCCCAGCGTCCCTGTTTCTACATCCTGAGCCTGTAAAAGGTCCCATGGTAGGGGAAGGGGAAGTCCCCGAGTGGGGCATATTCTGACCTCGGGATCTGCAAACCCTCTGGAGTTCTTACAAGATTGTCTGCATTGGTGTATTCGTCTGGGAAGAGTCTAGAGTTCCTTCAGAACCACAAAAAGCTCCTGGACTCCAGGGTGGGGAGAACCAAAGGGACAGGGATCTCTAGCCCCCTCCGCCCCGGAGCTCCAGGCAAACACAAACCCGGCAGCCACACACATTAGCAAACGCGAGAGAAAGTGCTGCCACGCAGGGACGGCCGTGACTGCCCCGACTGCCCTGATCCTGGCCTGTTTCTGTTCACTGCTGCCTACTCTGCGCCCTGCGAGGCCTGGACAGCATCCCAGCAGGACTGAGCCCCTGAACTCTGCATACGCCCCCTCTTTGCCTACTGTGTTACTGGTCTGACCCCCCGTGAGGCCCTGGGTGTTTTCATGTCTCTCGGTGACTGCTCATTCCCTTTCTGAGCATCACCACCTCCAGACGCGAGGAGGAAACTGGAAAGGAAAATACGATTTGGGGGAAAGAGCCACTTCAGTGCACAGCACAGATGAAGCTAGATATTCCTGCAAACAGCCTCAGGGTCCTAGAAAACCACCTCTCAGTTTCTCCTGGACATTTGGACACCTCATGCTCCCCTCCCAAGCTGCCCAGGGCCCACGTCCACTTCCTGGAGGGGCTCTGATCTGCAAGTTCCAGGGAACTCGGGGCAGCTCTCCAGGTGCCTTGGGCAGGCCCATCACTGGCTCTAGAGAGGCCCACAGACCTCACCCGGATGTCAGGAGAGCCAGGGCACGCCAAGAGTGGGAGGGTAAATTATTCTGCTACTTTCACAGAAAAGGAGAAGCCTGGTGAACCCCATTGGCCCCCATCAGCCCCTGCAGTCCTGACACGAAAAAGGTGTCAGGGCACCAAGATGACACCATTTCTCAGGAAATGCTCCCTGCCTTGGGGACCCTGTAGGGGACACAGGGATGTATCTACTTTCCAAAAGCCAGGGAGAAACAGCTTCCCTAGCATGTGGAAGCACACTTAGCCCAGAGGGTCTGCCTCATCCTGTGGGCCCCATGCCACCAGTCCTGAGGAGTACCAGCTGCCCTTCGCTCTTATACCCTTCAAGAAGGGCCTGTCTCAACCCCCACCATTGGCCCCTCCACACTCCTGTATCCTCCAGAACACCCACCCCAGTGCAGGGGAACAGTGTATGATCAGAAAAACCTTCTCACTGCCGGGTGTACAAATGGATATGATGGTCTGGAAAATCCATTATTCTGTCTGAAAGCAAGAGTTTCCATAGAGGCCATACACTGGTTTCCAATTTTTGAAAGACAAAGAAAGCCACACCATTAAAGTTGTGCGGTGCGTGATGTCACCCCTCTCTGATGCTGCTGCTCAGAGAAGGCACCTGGGGATCCAGCAGCATCTCAGGCAGCCTTCTAGATGTTGTTCAGGAAAGTGGAGGCAAGAGCAGAACCCCATGCTTCCAAAGTCCCCACGTCCCTGCTTTCCTCTCCCTGAGCAGCACACACCTCGGGAACACACACCCCAGGGTAACAGCACGCCAGCTACACATGGGGTTGGGGACTTTGCTGCGGAATCCAGAAGGGATGTGGGTCTGACTAGATCCTGGAAGCCCGTCCCAGGAAGGCTCTCCTACAGCCTCTTTCCTCAGTGATGGGAAAACTTCAGAAAGACCACCCGAGAGACCTCCTCCCCACCCCCTGTGCACTCCACCACTAACAAGGTCAGTCTTGCAAGAACATGGGGCTTGGACTGAGCTACCCCCCAAAGCCTGGCCAAAAAAGCCTGTTTGGTAATGCAGGAGGTGCAACCCTGTCTCCCACTCCCCAAAATCCACTGAGCAGGCCACTCCCTCCCTCAAGAGAAAGGAGGAAGGAAAACAAGCCAAAGAGAGGTGGATGACAGTGTTGGCTCCAGAGCAGCCCCAAGCAGAGGGAACCACCCAGATCTGCAAAGTCAGTCCCTAACCAGAAGGACTGGAACAGGCTGAGTGCAGAGTTCAGGCAGCCTCCTGAAGTCCCTGCAGCCAGACTGTCACACAGGAAACCAATCCAGCTCCCCTCTCTCCTCTCTCCACTGTTCCGCAGGGGCTCCTAGCTGAGCACCTGTCAAAGTTAGTCAGGGGAGAGAAAATCCTCTCTCCCACCTGAATCGCCTTCCAGGATGCCTCCCATCTAGGACGCCTTCCGGGTGGGCAAACGCCCTGAGGACTGGCATCTCATTAGCGCCAGGGCTGTGCCCTTGGTCTCCCCCTGGGGAAGCTGACAACTGCGCATCCCTTGAGGACCCTTGACAAGGGGTGACTGCCGGTGGGTAGAGAGAGCAAGAAAAGTGCTCTGGCCCAGGCCAGGCATCCCCTCCCACCAGCCGTCCCTGGGACCTGCCTCCTTCTCTGCTTGCGAAGGAGAGAAGCAGGGACATTATTCCAACAGGTCCCCCTCAGCCGGGCCTCACTCGACCAGCTTTCCTCCGCCCTGCCCCGAGGCCTGAAATTCAGGGGCAGAACCAAGGCACCTGCGGCCAGACCGGCTCCATCCTCGCGAGAGGGGGCCCGGGCGGTGCCTCTCGGCGCTCTGGGGCCTCCTGGGGAAGGGGCGGGGCGGCTCCGCGCCCCCTCCCGCGCTCACCTGGCGCAGGTGCTGCAGCAGCGTCCCCGCCTCCTCCCGCCGGCCCTGGCGCACCATCCGCAGCAGCTCCTGGACCATGCCGACGCGCCGGTGGTAGGGGGGCAGCCCCGCGCCGGCGCCCGCGCGCCCCGCCTTGTCCCCCGCGCGCAGCAGCAGCGACGCCCAGAAGTCGGGCCGTTCGCGGCGGGGGCCGGG